TGGGAAGGCTGAAGTGAAGGGAAGGCCTTCTGGCTGGACCTCCTGTTTACTGCTGCTAGCAATCAACAGTGTAGTATAGTGGTGGTGCCAATTATGTTCCTTACATAGCTGTTCTTCCCTGACAAAGCAGGCTCTATAATTGTTTGGGGACTCATTCTTTTTTGTTTGTTTTTAATGAGAAAAGAAAGTGAGCACAGGAGGTAGCGGAGGTTAAGAAAGAGAGAAAGGAAAAAGAGAGGTAGATTTTTTTTTTTTTTTTTTTTTTTTAGAGATTTTCACTGTAGGGCACGTGCGCTCACCAGACAGACAGAGAGAGACATAGAGACAGAAAGCGAGAAATCACCCCCCGGGGGGGGATGGTCACGCCGCAATCCCTTCTCCTCCATTCTCCTCTCGGGATCTTGGGCACGCACGCACACGCGCCCTGCGTGAGTTTTAAGCCACCGGGTCCGGGACACGAACTACGGTCGACTACGTGGGAGTCCAGCGACATAGCCATTACGCTAACTGCTGGTTCCCAAGAGAGGTAGATTTCTTGACAGGACCTTGCAATCATGATCCTCTGGCCCAGCATCTCAGTTAGCTAGAATTACACGTGCATGCTCAGCCTGTTTAGGGTGGTCCCTCGCCTGTGGCCCTAGCCTCACACCACCACGACTGAGCCAGGAGTCATGACTATAGACCTTGTTCCATCCTACAGATCTTTCAACAATTTGTAATCTGTACTAAATGCTCTCCTGCTTAAAATATGTAGTTTCTGGCACTAAATCCTGACTAGTAAACAAGACATATATCTTATATTTAAAGGAAACAAGATGCTCTTTCATTTTTCAATCTTTCTCAGTTTTCTGTGGGAATGCCCTGGACTCCATGTAATTACTGGTAGCTGGAAAAGTCATGATGTATGCTTCTATGCAAAAATGCATCATGACTTTTCTGATGACCAAACAGAACTTTCACCTTCACCCCTGATAGTTCTATCTTTGTGCTTCTACCAAATATCGCTGGGACTCTTCTGCATGCCATGAACTATCACGTTGAAAACCACCCCTCCTACTGATACCAGCTACAAGGGCTGAATAAAATACAAACACATCAGTATGAAAACACTAGAGAGCTACCGAGTCTCCTGGGTCTTAAGGGTCAAGGTCCTGGAGTTAAGGGGTATTTATAGTTAGTTGAGCCCAATATTCTGCATTGCATTTTCCTCTCAAAGAAGCCAGACACAAAACAGTATATACTATACAATTCTACTTATAATGAAAAACTAGGAAAGACATATCTAATCTGCAGTGGCAGAAAGAATGGTGATTGTCCAGTCTTGGGGAGGAACTGGCAGTGGAAGGAGCACCAGGAAACCTTTGGAGCTGATGGAAACAGCCCATGTCTTAGTAACATTAGTGGTTATCAGGGTGTGCACATCTGTCTAAACTTAGTTGTGCATATTTAAATGGGCACATTTTAGTCTATGTAAATTATATCTCAATATAGTTAATTTATAAAAAGCTAGCAAACTGCATGTTGGTTACAAGAACGCTATTATTTTTAAAAAACAGAAAAAAAACACTGATGAATATAAAGTTGGCATTGCTTTAATTATCACATGATGAACACGTTAAGGCAAAATGCAATCCCACAAATTACAAGATTTCATACTGTTACAAGGGTCAATCTACCGGTAAGACAA